CTGTGGTTGGCCCGCTGGCTGGGGTGGCTGCCGGAGTCTGGGGGATGGTCGGTTGGGGGTGGGCTCCTGGCCGTTGGAGGGGTGTGGAGGTGGGCCGGGGCGTGGCTTTGCTGGGTGGGGGGCTGGCTGGTCGGACTGGTGTGGCCCGGGCTGGGACTTGGCTGTCTGCTCTTCTCCACCCCAGACTGAAGGGGTCTACCTCCTGGGTTCGGGTGTGAGCWGCCCTCTGCAGGGGGTGGGTGCATTTCCTGGACCTGGGGGGTATAATGTATGAATGGGAAGTGTGAGTGGATTGTGGCGTCTATCTTGTGTGTCTTTGAATGAGTGGGTGAGAGTATGAGGGTGGGACWGTGTGATTGTGTTTATGTATGCTTGTATTTTTGTCAGGTTGGGACTTGGGCAGCCCCTTCTTCGGGACCATTTGAGGGCCCATTACTCCCCTGTCGTGCTGTCCTCTGGCGGGTTGTGCCTTTGCCCGTCGGCGCACTGGTGGCTCTCGTTGTCTGGGGCTGGGTGCTTGGGCGTGTGCCGGCTCGGCCCGGTGACTGCCCGGTGGGGCTGGGGTCCCTCTGGTCCTATCGGGCCTTGGCCTGGGTGGGGGGTGCGGCCTGGGGGCCCGGGCCTCTGTGTCSGTGCCTGGATCCACTCTGGCGCGGTGGGTACCGGCGGGCCCTGTGAGTTCGTCACTGCTGGCTCCAGGGGTTGCTGTGTGTGGTTGCTGGTGGGGCTCTTCCGGTTCTCTCCGGTGGTCCTCTTTGGGGGGTGGGTGGGCGGCCCTTCCGGCGCGGGTGTCTCTAGGGGCTGCGTGCTTGGGGTCCCTCTCGGGGTCTTTGGCACTGGTCTCCCTTATGTCGGCATCCGGCCTTACGGGTCGCGTCTGTGGTCCCCCACAGTCACTTTGAAACATTCCATGGGAGAGATCCATGCATGCTTACAACTGTACACAAACAGGTGTTTACATCCTGGGTTTTCTATTCGGGCACTGATGGAAGGGTATGTGCATATGTGTATGTGTATGTATGTATTTGTGCATGTATATGTATGTGTATGTATATGTATATGTGTATGTATGTATGTGTATATATATATATGAAAGTGTTTGGATATGTAGGTAAGGGTAGGTTTATGTGTATATGTATAAATTTATATATGTATATGGGTATGGTTTTCAGCAAGGCTAWWMTCATTATAATTACATAGATATGCATTTTTGTTGCTGTGGTTTTGCTATCTTTCTTTTGTAGGTGTGGAGCCAAGAAGTCCAGTGTGCTGTCCTGTCTTTTCTCAACATATATTTTACATGTCTTCTAATCTCTTTTTCACTCGTTCTCATTACATTTCACTTTTTTCTTTCTCCTTCTTTTTCTTCTTTTAAAAAATCATAATAATGGTGTGCAGAGGAGGCCATCGAAAAATTAAGAATAAATAAATAAATAAGGTGCAATACACTTTCTCACCACTAGCAGCAGTAGTGCACCACTCAGATGTTTAACAACTTTTTTAATATGTAGAAGAAGAACCTTAGAAACCTGCTGAGAATGGAAACTTATTTTAAATGAAAAGTAGAAGCAAAAATGAAAGTAACTCATCAAAAAAACACCAAAGTTTGTCACTATTTTGAAGAACAGCTTCTTTTTTTTACCATGTAATATTTTAAAAGTTCAAAACATTATCAAATACAGTTGCAGATACAACTATATTTTAATTTGCATTTTAAAT